AACCCAATCCAATTAAAGTTTGGACCGGGCCAAACCTGATCCAAAAGTAAAAATTAATGTACGGCCCGGTTAGGGGTGTAAATGAGTCGAGCCGAGCTCGAGCCAGGGTTAGCTTGAGCTCGAGCTCGTTAAGGAAGGCTCGGCTCGAGCTCGATCGATCTCGACAATTGATGCTCGAGCTTGACAATTTTCAAACAGCTCGAGCTCGGCTCGAGTAGCTCGATTGTCGAGCTTGATTTTGAGCTCAAGTTTGGGGTCGATTTTGACCTCAAACAAGTCCTCAGCCGGCAGTCTTCCGATGTCTCTGTATCTCATCTCCGTGTTATCGTCGTCGACAGTCTTCCAGGGCTTGGGGGGAATGGGTGCGGTAGTGCGGGACTATGAGAGTACTGGAATAGGGTAAGTCTTAGAAGGGAGTAAAACTTTAATTTTTGATAATAATAATAATAATAATAATAATAATAATAATAATAATAATAATAATAATAATAATAATAATAATAATAATAATAATAATAATAATAATAATAATAATAATATTATTATTATTATTATTATTATTATTATTATTATTATTATTATTATTATTATTATTATTATTATTATTATATATAAGGCTCGCAAGCGGCTCGTCGAGCCATGAGCATAGGATATGTGAGCTCGGCTCGAGCTCGATAAGTAAACGAGCTGCTCGAGCTCGATTTTAATCGAGCCACTTGCGACCGGCTCGCCTCATTTACACCCCTAGGCCCAGTTCATATCTCTAAAAATAAAAAAATATTAAAAATTATCAATCGACTAATTGAAGTTATGTATTCCTTCTAAATTAGTTTTATAAGTTCACATGTTTATTTTCAGCTATTTAATTTAAGAATTATTGCAAAAAAATAAAAAAAATTTAATAATTAATAATGTAATACTATTAATAAGAATAAGTTTACAAATTGTAACTACTAACTACTAAGTAAAAAAGGGCAATTTTTTCAATTTGAATCAAATAAAATTTCATAATTTTATAATATTTTAAGGTAGTAATTACTAATTAGTATGCAAGTTAGGTAGTTAACTAGCTAAATAGTAAATACGTAAGAATTTAATAGATATAAAACCAATATCATAATTTCTAATGTGAAAATCGCATGAGTCATTACTCTATTAGAGTATATATGTATAGTATATTTTTTTAAAAAAAATGTACGTGCCAACGGGCTAGGCTGGGCCGATCCGATCCATGGGTCAAAAATTAAAGTCTAGTCATGTCTGTAGTATAAAATGGGTTAGCCCTAGTCTGCCCATCTATTGGATGTAGTTACAACTTATTTATATGACACACTTGATCATGACATTTATATGAAAATCTCTGAAGGGTTTAAGTTTGACAAAAAAATTATAAAGTAACTTCTCGAGAAATTTACTCAATCAAGTTCAATAAAGTCTTGAATGGGTTAAAGCAATTTGGGTGTATGTGGTATAATTGCCTTAGTGAACATTTGTTGAAAAAAGACTATAAGATTGATCAAATATGCCCATGTGTTTTCATCAAGAAATCAGGATTAGAGTTTATTATAATTGTTGTTTATGTTGATGATTTGAATATGATTGGAACTCCTCCAATGTTATCACAGGTCATGCAATGTATTTAAAGCATGAATTTGAAATAAAAGATTTGAGAAAAATAAAATTTTGTTTAGGTTTTCAAATTGAACACTTGAACGATGAAAATTTTATCTATCAAACAAATTATGTGGAAAAGGTATTAGAAAGGTTTGAAGTAAACGACCCCTAAGTGTTTAAAAAAAAAAAAGTTTAAAAAGTCTCTTTGTAGTAACCAAAAGAGTTAATTCCATCATTGGTCATCTGACTATCATGATTTTCCACAATTGGTCATCGACTTTCAATTTAGACACTTGACTATTAAAATATTTCCAATGTTGGTCCTTCTGTCCCAAGTTGGTTAAGTGAATGTTAAAATGAGGGCTAAAACAATCTTTTAACATGCTCTGCGTATAATACATCGTTGTTATCCTCCATCCACGAAAATCTGTACCTGTAGTTCAATAGTTGACTCAAAGGAAGCACCGGCAGCCGAAGTCCACTAACTCCTCTCACCTGAAACCAAGTTCAACCTGTACAGTTCTCCTCCACTAACTCCTCTCATATGTATAGTTCAATTTGTACCTAAAGCCAAGTCCGCCAATTCAACTCCACTAACTCCTCTCACCTTCTTGGACAGGGCCGCCAACATATATGGTGACGCTACCTCCGTCGTTTACAACGACGTCACCTTCACCTGGTCGAAAACTCATCTCCACTATCTCCACCTCACTTCCTCCATCATCTCTTTAGACGTTCAGAGAGGCGACGTCGTCTTTGTTCTCCGTCTTCCTACGCCACGGCGAGTCAAAGCTTATGTTCATTGACAGCTAGTACAGAGCTTTGGCAATCGAGGCTTGTCTCTATTCTCGCCGAATTCGCCGCTCCGCTCTTGTTCTCATCGCCGATCATGAATTTCTGGCGGAGCGCAGCGGTGGAGAGTTCGTTGAGACGTATGAAGGCATGGTCAAAAAGGGCGACCCGAATTTCAAATGGATTCGCCCGGTAACCGAATACGACCAGATCGTATTGAACTATACTTCCGGCACCACCTCTGCTCCCAAGGGGATGGTTCACTGCCACAGAGCTTCATTATCTCCTTGGATTCCCTAAGCTTTCCTTGGGGAATGGCCGCCATAGGGGGGGGGGGCACCAATATCTGCTGTTGGAAAGTTGACACCGCCAACATCTATTTTGCGATTCGCAAGCCTTTGCCGTGTCCAATTCAAATCCTGACCTCCGGAGCGTTGCCGCCGTCAGCGATTCTGTTGCGGACAGAGTCGCTAGGTTTCGTAGTCAGCCACGGCTACGGGTTAATAGAAACTGCAGGAATCGCTATCTCCTGCTTATGAAGCACGACGGTTCAACTCTGGGCAAAGTGGTGCTTTGAGGCGGCAGCGTCATGCTGGGATACCTCAAAGACCCCGAAGGAACCGCAAAAAGCATGAAAAAGGGGGTATTTTGATTTTAATCGCATATATGGAGGAGAACTACGATGTATTATAGGCAGAGCATGTTAAAAAAAACTATTTTAGCCCTCATTTTAACATCCACTTAACCAGCTTGGGACTGAAGGATCAACATTGGAAACATTTTGATAGTCAAGTGTCTAAATTGTCCAAATTGAAAGTCGAGGACGACTGTGGAAAATCATGATAGTAGGGGGACTAATGCTGGAATTAACTCTAAACAAAAATTAGAATCAAGACTTTTTGAACAACAATTAAAAAGTCATGATCAAATTCAAAGTTTCTATAAATCTATAATCACTTATTCAACACAATAATATTCCACAGTAAATCACTCAAAGTTCCATGATATATGTGTGGACCTAATTTCTTCAATTCAAGACTTTTTGAATGAAAATTAAAGTGACTCTCAAATTAATACAAATTTCCATAATCAATTCTTCAACATCGTAATAGTCCACAATAATGACCTAAGGGGATGTTTGGTTCATGGAAAATGTTTTCCAAAGGAAAATATTTTTCTTAAAGTGGAGGAAAATGTTGTTCTCTGGTGTTTGGTTCATGGAATTCATTTTCCATTGGAAAACGAAATTTTCAAATTTGAGGAAAACAAAATCTTTGGTTGGACCAAAGATTTTGTTTTTCATTGAAGATGAGAAGAAAAAGTGATATGAATTGCTATTTTACCCTTGTTTTTTTTTTTAATTATATTACTCTTATTAATTTATAGGAGCATATAGGTCTTTATACTCATTATTCCTTACAATTCCAAATCTAACCAAACAATAGAATTAGTATTCTCAGAAATTCCTTTTCCACCAACCAAACAATGCAATTTATTTTCCTAGTAATTTTTTTTTCCATAAAATTTCAATTTCACTTCCCTTAAAATATTTTTCGCGAACCAAACGAGCCCTAAAGTTTCATGATATATGTAAGTGAGGTCCCAACGTTCCGCGATATATACAAGTATGGATATTTCTCGTTTTTCTTATCCAACACTTTTTCAACTACAATTAAAGAGTCACTTCCAAGTTCAATGTTCATATCACCCTCTCAAGTTCAATGTTCCTATAACGTAGCGCTCCTTAAAAATAGCAATAATCCACAATAAATGATTTATATTTCCAGAATATAATACATGATATGGAGTAATATTTATTAGAAAAAAGCTTTCTTCCCCTCATAAATTTTACCTTTAATATTTTCCCTCCCAATGTGACATTCATTCATTATGTGTCGTGAATTGATTGATCCTACCACTAATTCAAAATAAAAATTGGTTACCAATTAGATGCAACCACATCATGAGGGATGGATTGAAGAGAAAAAAAAAAAAAATTAGTTACCAACTAGATGTAGCTAATCAGCTACAACATGAGATATGAATTGGAGAGGAAAAATATTAAAGATCTCTAAAATTACTATTTATTATTTCACTCTCGATATTCGAATTAAAAACATTTTTCAACTATAATTAAAGAGTCACTTCCAAGGTCATCCTTTGCATCACCCTCACAAGTTCAATGTTCCTACAACATAAAACTATTTTTTAATAAAAGAAAGATCCTTCATTCGGTCCTTCCCTTTTTTTTTTTTTTTGATCAAACAAGGGGATATGTTTAAACTTCTTAAAAGATGAAAGTGCACTACCGTTCACACAAACCAAGTTGTTTTTTTTTTTTTAGGCTCTATTACATTGTAGTATCTGTTCATATACTTTCTCAACCTACTGAAACACAAAGAATTTCTCAACCTACTGAAACACAAAGAACCAATAACGCCTCCACTGAGGCTTGAACTCATAATCTTCCAAATGGAAGTCCAACCCGGATACCATTAGACCACATAGTCCTTTGATGAAGTTTAATTTGGGGAAATATTCAAACAATTTTATAATACAAAATTAGCGGACTTCGGTTCTTCCGCAGTGGGAATTCCTTAAATACCACTCCTCCCATCTACTTCCAACCTCGCACCATCATCATCACAGAAACTCTGTATCTATATGCGCAAATATAGTCTAAAACTCAAACTGCAGTACAGAGTTTGTGAGTGAGTGAAGGGTTTTGCTAATGGAGAAGAATGAGGCTTCCTCTTTCTCTAGCTTTCACGCTTACGTCCGGGCACTCTCCGATACCCCTCGCCGCCTGGCGCTCCGGGCGGGCTCTGTCTCCACGTCGTTAGAGGAGACGAGCCACGTCCGCGCTCTGTCAGGGGGCGGCATGAAGAGGAGTCTCCGGTGGTACGACTTGGTCGGCTTCGGCCTCGGCGGGATGGTCGGCGCCGGCATCTTCGTGACCGCCGGTCACGCCAGCCATGACTGTGCCGGCCCTGCCGTTATCCTGTCCTTCGCCATTGCCGGTCTCTGCGCCCTCCTCTCAGCGTTCTGCTACACCGAGTTCGCCGTCGAGATGCCTGTCGCCGGCGGCGCTTTCAGCTACATCCGCACTACATTCGGTCCTTACCTAAAATCTAATCAATGAATCAATCAATTAGTTTTGGAATATCTCCAGAGAACTAAACCTAACTCGATTGCAGGGGAATTTCTGGCATTCATAACCGGAGCTAACCTAATCATCGATTACGTCCTCTCCAACGCCGCCGTGGCGAGGAGCTTCACGGGGTACTTATGCACAACCATCGGCCTACGCCGCCTACCGCACGTAACGAAGCTGAGAATCACCATCTCCGCTCTGCCAAAAGGCTTCAACGAGATCGATTTCGTAGCAGTGGCGGTTGTTTTAGCCCTAACCGTAGTCATCTGCTACAGGTTTTCCACAACCACAACCACATTCCACTCATTACTCCATTTTTTTTCCGCGATTCAACCGTTACATTATATCTCTAATCATTTTCCTCCCTCTCTCAGTACAAGAGGAAGTTCCGTGTTCAACATGACGCTAACAGTGCTGCACATCCTGTTCATCGTGTTCGTGATAGCGATAGGGTTCTCCAAGGGCGATTCGAAGAACCTAACTCATCCGGCGGATCCGAAGCTGGCGGGCGGGTTCTCGCCGTTCGGCGCCTCCGGAGTGTTCAGCGGCGCCGCCATGGTGTACCTGAGCTACATCGGATACGACGCCGTGTCGACAATGGCGGAGGAAGTTAGGAATCCGGTTAAGGATATCCCTATCGGCGTCTCGGGGTCAGTTATCCTTGTGACCATCCTTTATTGCCTGATGGCCGCTTCTCTATCCATGCTCCTCCCCTATGATAGGGTAATCAACTTTTCTTTATTTATTTATTTTTTTTAACTTACCAGAATCCTCTAAAGTAGGCTAAAAGATGCTTTAGTAACAAAAGATAACATCTCACCTAAAAATTACCATTTTACCCTTCACTTCATATTTATGCACCCAAAAAATTCTGTTTTGTAATATTAATAGACAAAAGATCACAAACAAAGAGTTAAATCAATCTAAGTTATCTTGACCAGCTTAATTCAAAAAGCCTATTCTCTATAATTTAACTGTTTTATTATATGAATTTTTACTCATATTTACTTTATAATGTGATAAGAAAGTTATTTTTTCATCTTATGAATTTTAAGAAAAATGTCAAAGTTACAAATTTTAGATGAGAGGATAAAAGGGAGTAAAATTTATGAGGTCAATTACTAATTTTTCTATAATTTAATTTTATTTAAATCTAGACCAATGATGCTTTTGACTTGTTAGATTTCTTTTAAGTCGAGTCATATCATGAGATTACAAAGTTATTTTAACGGCGAGACCTATAATATATGTGAGGTAGGTGTATGTTGTTGTTAGATTAGTGTTTATATTAATATTTTAGTACCTAGTATGATGTGATTGATTTAGATGTTTTGTGCATACTATGCGGTGTTGCTAACTTGGGAGTGTGTTGTGTGTATGGGTCAGATTGATCCGGATGCACCATTCAATGGGGCGTTCAGCGAGGGGTCGCGAGGGTGGAGATGGGTGTCCAACGTCATAGGGGCGGGGGCCAGCTTCGGGATACTCACATCACTGTTGGTGGCGATGCTGGGGCAGGCTCGGTACATGTGTGTGATCGGACGGTCAGGAGTGGTCCCCAACTGGTTCGCCAAGGTTCATCCTAGGACGTCCACGCCCGTCAACGCTTCCGTCTTCCTCGGTATGTTTTTTACTATGCTTTTGGTGGAACAAAAAAATTATAATTTCTCAAGAAAAGAATTCATATAGGACTAGAAATAGAATAGTTGGCATGTTGGTTGTGCACTTCGTCCTTTAAGTATGAGGTTGAGGGTTTGATTCTCACTCATGTCTTTTTATGATAATCATAAAAGGGCAAAACAGTAATTTACTGTGAAATTCTAATTCCATACCAGAATAGAATGATTGGGGAATTGAAAGAGAATAAGTGAATGAAGATTAAAATGTTTTTGTATAATAATAATAAAAAAAGGATAAAATAATAATTTGCTGTGAAAATCCAATTTATCTTAGAATTGTAATTCCTTGGTCTGAGATGTGGAATTGCAATTTTCCCTCACCAAATAATGAAATAGAAATACAATAGAATTTGGTTGGAATAGAATTGCAATTCTATCCTACCAAACATCGGTTAAATCTTGAGTAGGGGCATAGGGAGAATATAATAATAATAATAATAATAATAATAATAATAATAATAATAATAATAACAATAATAGTGTTGTCTTCATACACCTTACTGTTTAATTGAAGTGATGTGCTTGTTTGTTTCTTGGTTATGGATGAACCTTTGCAGTTTGCAGTTTTTGTCATTTGGGTGGGGTCCACATTGAACCGTTTTGGTTTGGCTTGTAGCTTTGCTTTGCACTCACTCATTTTACTCTTCTAGGAATGCCCATAAATCTTTTGTTTTCATTATCATACATCATCTTATTACCCCTTTTTTCAAGCCATAAATTTCGGTTTGAAGTTCATCTTTTCCCGTCAAAATATACTAAAAAATCATAAATCATGAGAATTTTCATTTTCTCTAACGGAATCAGAGGGGAGCATTTAATAAATATTGAAAACGATGTTTGCATTCTCATCTATTCGAATCCCCCTTTGACGTCACGGGGTCAATAGGGAGTGGAGGGGCAAAGAGGGTGTAACATCACTTATAAATGCAAAGGTGATGACTGTTAGATACTGAGATATTGTATTTTCTTGATTTCAATAGGATATGTAGACTCTTGTGGACAAAACCTTAGAATTATGTCAAGTCATTGTACTACCATTTAACAATGACATGGGATAAAAATGATGGTAGAACAATTGACCTTAGTGATGTTTTTTTCTTTCGGTTTCTTTTAGGGGTCGTGTAGGGGCCACCCTATGATTTTTGTAAAGATTGACGAATAAAGACTTACTCTAGGGGTTGAATTCCTTTGGGGGAGTCAAATGAGATTTTACTACATTTCTACAGGGGACCATTGGATAAGGTTGTCCATTTTCAAGTTCAGGTCAATATGTATAGTTGCAAACACAAGTGGGCTGTCACAAACAGATAGCTGTAGATGTAACGTGGATTTAAAGGTATAAACATGTGAAAAAGACTAGAGGCCATCTGATTCCCAGCTTAAATGCACAAACCATCAAACTTTTTTGAGCACCCACTTTTGTTCTGATCTAATCCTAAAACTTGTACGGGGCCGTTCCAATATTATTGGCGTTAGTGCTGATATTATCCGGTATAACCAAAGAATAGTATTTGTCTTTTTAATCTATGTATATATTTCTGTGACTTCATATTATAAGTTTGAAATATAAACTTAAGGGCCTCTCACCGCTTATGTCCGGTAGATTGGTGAAGGAGGTAAATCGTGAGATGTGACTCAATTAGTCAACTGGTTTAAAGGCCTCTAAATGGTGTGCATTATGTTGATAGTAGTTAGTCTTGTATAGTTTCCTTTTTAGGCAAAAGGTGGAATCTGTAAGTTTCCAGTTGAGGATCTAGTTAAAACCTTTGGTAAGGCCAATCATCAAACGCGTAAAGAATTATGCGGGTATCTTTGCTACCCACATTGATGGTGATAATTGTAAAGAGTTACAGTAGTAAAGCATTTTTAGGTTAAAGAAATTAAAGGTAGATATACCTCATGGGCATGAACTGATTCTGGCACATGATCCTCTTTATTTTTTTGGTGTTGTGAAGTTAGAGAACCAGTCTAGAATTCTTATTCCTAATTAATATTGTATAACAGTTAGTGGAAATGGAATAATGATAAAATGGAACTTATGACTTAATGGCTTTTTGACAATGATCTTGAATCAATCTTTGATCAGCTCTTTGAAAGATTCCTTTCAAAGATGTGGTGATCAACACCAGATTGGACACCAACTCTTGCATGCTTTAGTGGACTTAAAGTAGTGATTGAAGTGACTCTAATGAGTAATGAATTGAGATTCATGCTAAATTCATTTGCCTCTGTTGGACTAACTTTTTTGTTTTTTTCCAGGGATCTTCACTGCAGCCATTGCGCTTTTCACTGATTTACAAATCCTCTTGAACCTGGTGACAATCGGCACCCTCTTCGTGTTCTACATGGTCGCAAATGCGGTGATCTACAAGCGCTATGTCACGGTGGGATCAACCAATCCGTGGCCAACCCTGTCTTACCTCTTCTGCTTCACCCTCACTTCGGTCTTGTTCACGCTGCTGTGGCACTGCGCACCGCCAGGCAAGGCGAAGGCCTTGGTGCTGGGCGGTTGCACCCTCATCGCCATCGCCATTCTCCAGCTATTCCAGTATATGGTGCCCCAGGCGAAGAAACCCGAGCTGTGGGGTGTCCCATTGATGCCATGGATTCCATCCATGTCCATCTTCCTCAATATATTCCTGTTGGGTTCCCTTGACCGGCCATCCTATATCCGGTTCGGATTCTTTTCGGGCCTTGCAGTGATTGTGTATGTGCTATACAGTGTCCATGCTAGCTTTGATGCTGGGGAACAAAAAACACTTGGTCAAGAGAATATTGAGATGGGGAAGGAATATAATGTACCCCGGGACCATTCTCTCAAAGTATAAATGTGTAATGGCTCATATATTTTAACCTTTTTCTTTTGCTTAGCTTCTTACATGGAATAGAGAAGTCCAGTGGGATAGGCTGCAATTTTGCAGCACTTGGCAACTTGTATAGTTTGATTCCCAGTATTATTATTGGACTTCCGTTCAACATCTCCAAAATGCTAATTTTAAGTCAACTATTGTTGGGGTTAGCTAGTTTCTTTCATACATTTTAGCTAATTTTAATGGGATCGAGAAGATGATAACAGGTCACTTTGTTTTATGAAATTTCGTTAAAATCTTGCTGGCAGGTTGTCGGAACTCGAATGACCTATGAATCAATTTTTGGGCTTCATTTTAACAAAATAAATTGTTGATAGTGTAATTGCACCATTAAAAATTTTATGGGGACTAATTGACTTTTCGAGGGTCTATTAACTCTTTTCTCTTTTTATTTGTTTCAATTTATTTCACTAAAAGAGTACACTTGTCATTTTCTTTTGCGAAAAAGATCAAATAGATCATTAAATTTTACTCAAAACTGCAATTAGGTTCCTGAACTTTAAAAAATGTAATTAAACACTCAAGCTTGTCAAAATGAGGTCAAATAATATCGGTTTACTGATAATCTCGATGTTGACTGCCGTTGACCACTTTTCATGCCCATGGAAACAATTAAATTGTTGGTGGCCTTCTACATTAGAGAACATGATCAGCTGGTTGTGTTCTTTGGTGGAGAAGGCAACCAAACTGGTTGTCTTCTCCACTAGATAAGGCAGCATGTCCAGTCACCTTCTCTAGTGAAGAAGATAACCGGTCACGGTTGTCAGAATTTTATTTTCTAATTTGAAAAGTCAAAAAAAATTTTAGTCGCCGAAATTATTCTGGAGCCTTAATGATCGATAACCGGTTATTAGGTTTAGATGCACCAAAATGTAAGTTTGAGTGTTTAATTGTACTTTTTAAAAGTTCAGAGGACTAATTACACTTTTGAGTAAAGTTCAAGGACCTATTTAACCATTTTCCCTTTTCTTTTTTGGAGTAATTATATACAAAATTTTGTAATATTTGTATTGTAAAAGGAATATGTGTGTGTTTGGTGGGGTGGGAGAGGAGCAAGAAACGTGCTCACCTTGCAAGGTGGGCACGGTTCCATATCCATAATTTCTATATTGTAGATTCATAATTTCTATACTGTGGATTCATAATTATAGAGCTATATGTTCATAATTATAAAGTTATATGTTCATATTCCCAATTGTTGAACTCTGTTTTCACAAATCACAGAACTATATGTTCATAATTTGATAACTATACAGTTTAGAAATTATGAATCTACAGTATAGAAATTATGAATCTACGGTTTAAAAATTATGAATCTAAAGTATAGATTTTATGAATTTACAGTATAGAAATTATGGATCTACAGTATAGAAATTATAGATATAGAACCGTACCCATCCACCGTATAACAGTATAGGAATTATAAATCTACTGTATAGAAATTATGAATCTATGATTTAAAAATTATGAATCTAAAGTATAGATTTTATGAATTTACAGTATAAAAATTATGGATCTACAATATACAAGGTGGGCACGATTCCATAGCATAACGATCCGTGGGAGAGGTAAGGCAATTAGGCAAACTAGTAGCAGATACAGCAAGAGTCATGTACAACATATAAATTTTAAAAAGAAAGAACAAAAAAAAAAAAAATAAATAAATAAAAACTATCTTTCGGCAGAAAGACAAGATAAAAATGAGGGACAGGATGGGGCATTATATTTATGTATGTTCCTTGCACTTTGATTTCACCCCCCACTTGAACTACCCTTTTTGTCTATTGTCTATTGTATATTGTCTATTGTCTAAGTCAATTGGACCCTTTTTGGAATCATTAGATCTGGATTGTGGATGTACCTTTCACCACTTACTTGTCACTTCATTTCATTTCATTTCATTTCTCTACCTCTTCCATCCTTTACAATCTTTTTCTATTTCCATTTGCATTTTGCATGGCCCACTTTCCATCTCACCCACAACTATTGTATTTTGCCATTTTACACACACACATATATATTTCCCGTTGTTCAATTCTGTCAAGAAGGAGGTGATTGTGATTCTGTGAGAGTTTAAAGTATTAAGTTTATTAAGACCTTATAAAAATTTCTATGTCAAAATTGATATGAGAACAACCTTATTAGGGTTTGTTTTGAATTTTTATGTACACATAAAAGAGAGAGGGCATGAGTTGGAAGGGAGAGAATGGAGGAAAGTAAAAAAAAATTACATTTACAATATTATTATTTTTTTGGGTCCCACGAAAAAAAAAAAAAAACAAAAAAACAAAGCTTAAACTATCCTCTCTCTTTTTTTCTTTTTTCTTTTTTATTGTGATTTTTTTTTCCTCTCGTTTTCTCACTCCGTACTTCCTAGGTGACTAGAAAAAACTTAAAAAAAAATCTCCAACGGATGATGGTACTCTTATATACAAAGTTAAATATATTCAACAAAAAACAAATATAAGTACATATTGGATGGTTAGGACTTAGGAGTCATGAACCATTACCCTATTGGCTCAGAATTTATTTATTTGAGGGTATGAACCCTAGCTAGAGGGTGGCTTGGATATAGGCTCCCTTTGCATTGGATCCCACATCTTAGAAAATGAAACAGAGTATTGAGGCTTTTTTCTAGTTTTTTATATGCTTCTCTTTCATTTGTTTATTTTCATTCGGTGTAGATATGCCGACATTTAGGGATGTACATTCAGTTAATTCAATTAATAACCTATTCAAATTAACCGAATTTACAAAATAACTTAACCGTTAACCGAATTGAATTTTCTATTTTCGAATTAACCGAATCGACTTTTAATTTATTTATTTTTGGTTCACCGAAATATTTTAGTAAAATTTAAAAATCTTAAAAGTTATAAATAAAAGTTTATAATTTGTAGTCTCACAATACAAAATAGTCATTACATCATGATAAAAATTTTAAAACTAATCTAATAGTATGACATATAAATTATATAAAAATAAATAAATAAAACACGTATATACTAACAACTTAGTTAACGACCCTACCCACGTTGAATGGGAAAGCAAGAGGAGCCTTGACGCTTTACTTAATTACAATTAATTTTTAAAAAATACTTTTGTTAAAAATACTTTTGTTTACTAACTATTACGAGTTGAAATAAATATTACAGATTTATGTACGTTGTTGTTCTCATGTCAATAAGTTGGAGTGAGTCTTCAATCTATAAGCACTTTCAATTCATAGGTCATTTCTATTGATGGAATAATTACAAATGGAGCCAGGGCACCGAAATCGAACCTGGCCGAGCACTTGGTCACAGGGTCGGCCAAAGAAGACCACATGAGCCAAGGTCAACCCACGGCCGCGTTCGTCACTCGATCGAGCTCCGTGCTCAGCCGAGTGGTGAGGTCTTCGCATTGTCCGGGTCTTGCGGCGCCAGTTGCGGTCCAAGGCGGTTGAGATGACCCCCCCCCCCCCCCCCACCATTTACTCCAGGGTTGTTATGGCGAAGTTGGGTATAAAAACCCTCATTCATGTCCTATTGAGACATAACTTGTCTTCATCTTCCACTTTGTCTTGTTATTACACAATCCCTATATTTGTAATAGCATTTCACACTCGATTAATACGACAGTGGTCCCCATGACTTATATTCAATCAATAATAGTTCCTTATTATCACTATATTCATCATTTACATTCGTTCATTCCTATGCTTGTCATAATTCCTTAATTTAATCAAGTTAATTAATTCGGACCCCCGCGTTAATTTTCTCCATCATTGGTGTTTTCATTAAGAGCTCGACGTCAGGCTCGAGCATGCTATTAATCCCTAGCTATGACAAGATTAGGATCAAACACCCGTAATTCTCATGATACGCACAACCCCTCTCATGCAAACGACCCCAACGGGGCATGAGCTAGTCTGCAAACACTACTCGTGGGGTCGACGAGGGACCTTAGGGATTGAATCAACGACAACCATCGCGGCGGGTTGGCTCCCCCAGTCCCACCTCAGATCCCAGGCTTTCAAGAGGGTGTGGTTGCCATCTAACAAGCCGCCGCCACGTTAACCCGCCTTGTTGAAGGGATTTAGGGAGGTGTTTCAACCTCCCATCCCAATCATGCTGGTCCATGCACTCGCATGCCACCTGTACCAGAGGCCCAGTGGACGGAGAGGTCAATTCACCTCGGCCCTCGATAGACAAGAGGGAGGTGAAACTAGCAGAGGTCGGCGTGAAGACCGAGAGGAAAGAAGAGCTCGGCTAACCCGCACCAAGTCCGCCTTAGGACGATTGGGCCCTCGATTGTCGGCTCGGGACTGTCTAGGGCCGAGACCGACCGTGAATGATCAGCCTACGGAGTCATCACTTTTACGAAGGTCCCTAAGCCATGGACCTCGAGCTCTGTCGCGCCGAGAGCAAACCACGCGAATGGAGCGCTCGGGTGAGACTAGTAGCCGACCTCAAAGCTCCCATCGCGGCGAGGTGGAACAATTGCGAAGATGAATGGATGAGCTCTAGCACAAGATCAAGGCACGGGATGAGTCACCGGATGTAACACCCCCAAATTCTAGATACAAAAAGATATAGAAATGCGGAAGCAAATTCAAAATACAAACTCAAATGGGGTGTTATGCCACACTTAGGTTACTCTAACCCCAAATGCACAGGCTTACAAAGGTTCTAACTACAAATTCAATACAAGGTTTCATACAACAAACTATAGAACAATCTATGTTCTACTCCAATCTACTAAACTATCCATATTATACAGCGCACTCTCGGAGACATCTCTAAGCCAACCTGAAATCATTTTACAAAAATTAGCGATAATGCTAAGTAAAACCACTCCAACATGTAAAGATACATAAGTATACTTTTATATCAAAATAGGTTTTGCAACGGTATAACTACATATATATATATATATATATATATATATATATATATATATATATATATATATATATATATATATCACACCAACGAACTCAGCTGAAGGATTCCAAAGAATAGGTACTCAATCAATAATAATCAAATTCTGGGAGCACTAGACTCATTTCAATAAAGACAACTCAACTCAAGTTCATAGACCAACAACAGGAATAATCAAGTCACTCATCATAAGGTTTCCAAGAATAAAATGCAACAACAAGCACAGTGGTA